CAAAGAAATCTGTTAGAAGATATGAAGGAGTGGAGCGAAGCGAGTTCCCCGAGGAACAGCGAGGAAGAATTTCACTGAAGAATGAAATGGCCAAACAGCAAAAATGGAAGATGTCTCGGTGCATGTGCTGAAAGAACATTTCAGACTGGAGTGGTGCTGGTTAAAGCATCGTGTGTGTCAGGCTGAGCCAGAATGTGATGGATGTAAGGCTGCTGCAGTCGTGGCTGTTCTGTGTGATAGGAGTTTTTGTTGTAGGACTGTAGTGGGTTAAATCCTGGGGTGAGCACTGTATGACAGGAGGGGGATAAATCAAGGAGGAAGAAAGAAAAAAAAAAAAGGCAATGACTGGGAAAAGGCAACGTCCTAAAGCTCAGAGTGGTTAAGAGGCAGTGCCTGAGCATGTTGTGTTTCAGGCTGTAGCCGTGTTTCAGAGCTCGTTTTGCCAGTGCTGGGAATCAAGAGATATGTAAACATTTTTAAAGGGCTCTAGTGGTCTGGAGGTCAGGCAAGTGCTAGGAAGGTTTTTGCAGGAACACACGTGATCTAAAGACATCAGTGGCTTTAGACTTACTTCTAAAAAGCCAAGGTTTATAGATGAAACAGACTCCTGGTTACTTTAATACCTTTTTTTTCCTCTTCCTGGATAAGTGTAGGGACACAAGTAGCATCAGAAGCCTCTCTGAAGCCCAGCGAAGTATCTGAGGAAATGCTTTTTGAGCCTGAGGGACTTTGCCTGCGGTACCGGATACAGGGATTTGAGCCTCATTGCTCAGGAGTTTCTTCCAAAACTAACAGCCTGGTATTTTCTCTCCTAGCTCTTCTCTCAGGAAACGCAACCAGCTCCTCACATCACGGAGGCCCAGCATGAATGTTAACTGTGCTGGTGGGACAGACTGGTCAAGAAATCCAGAGTCCACTTGCTCTGTGGAAAACATAACTGTAGCAGTCCATGAGTCAGAAGAAAGTAATGTGGTGCTAGGAGGTCACAGCCCTGCTGCAGTTCCCAGGACTGAGGGTAAGGATAATGTCTTTACCTTACAGTAGTCTTTGAGAGATACTGGGTTTTTTTTGAGGGATGTTAGGATTTTGAAAAATTCCAGTATCCCAAGGCAGTTTGCACTGAGGAGAGCAGAACATACATACTCTGGCTTTGCCAGGCGGGTCAAAAGGACAAGGGTCCGCAGCAGAGTTTAGGTTCTTGCTGTCTTGACGAGATCATCACATGCCAGCCAGCTTGCAGCTCTTTCTGAGGTTGTCCCTGAACAGATAAACTGAAAGTGTCTGGACAGTCCTGATGAGCTGTGTGCCCGCCGTGGACCAGGCATCAAGCACTGCTGGCTTAAACCACCTCTGTTGTGGTGTGTGCTTCTGCTCCAGCTTTCCTGGGAGAGCAGGTGTTGGTACTTGGTGTCTGTGTGCTGTATTTCTGGCCTTGTTTGATTCCTGTGCTGCTGCTCTTTACTCATGGAATCCATCTTGCTTTAACAAGGAGTAGTAACCATCAAGGTTCATCAGGCAATTTTTTAATCCAAAAATCCAACTGCTGGCTCACTTTGAAAATGCAGTCTAGTCTTATGTCATATAACATCACCCTGCTAGTTACATACACTGACGTCTTTTCTTACTGTGTGACTCAGATTTCTCATTACAGTAGGAAGTCTTTCTATGAAATTATGGTTTTCAGTAAATCATATCTTACCCTTGCAATATTTGTTTGTCTCTCACAGGTTTAGATTCTGAATGCCGACACACTGCTTGTCCAGTAAGTCCCCAGATCAGCATGTTGTCTGCTCCTGAAGACACGCACAGCTGTCATTTCCAAGACACAAATAAGAGACAGTCAGAATATTTTAGTACCCAGGACCGCCATGGATGCTGCACTTTGTCTTCAAGCACCAATTCACAAACAGTGGCTCCAGAGAAAGTGACGCTTGTGGTCGATGGCACTCGCTTTGCAGTGAATCCACAGATTTTCACTGCTCACCCTGATACTATGCTGGGAAGGTGAGTGATTTCCACCGTTTTCAATATACCTCAAGGGAGTCAAATATTTCCTAAAACGGAACAAACTCCTAATGTTTGTTTTGTGATTTCAACTAGAGAAGTGAGGTTGACCTCATTTAGAACTTGGCTGTGAGTAAGGTCTTGAAGACAAGTCCAGATGTAGAGAGAGTTGGTAGTTCTCTAGATAACATTCTCCCTTCATGCCACTTCCTTCAAACAACATGCACTTTGAGCTAGACATGGTCTGCTTTTGCCCTCTCTCCGAGAGTTTGCCTTGTTTGTAAGTAGTACATCTGTTCACAGCTGATAAATTTGCTTCCGGAATGGGGAAAATGATAACGTTCCAGCCCCCTTCTGCTGTTATCTTAAGATTTGGAGCCTGTTAATGCAACATGAAGCACTTGTTTTCTGTATTGCCAGCACTTTCACCCATCGCTGACCAAAGAGAGACAGGTTTTGTTGGGTTACTGGCCCTTGTGGCAAACGAGATCCAAAGGCACGTGGCACTTGCATAGTGTCAGTGAAAGGGCTTTATTGCCAGGGTATTTCTGAGCCAGGGTTGAATGGTCTCTTCCTCTGAGCTGTGGCTTGTTCCATACAGTACAGAAGCTATAGCGACAGACAGCTCAGCTATAGGAGGACGTAGCTGAGACAGTTCTTGTGCTTATTTACTGTGTAAGAGATTGGAGTGCAGATTTCAAGTTACTGTATACGGAGAGGGGCTTTTTCCAAGGGCGTGTAGTGATAGGACAAGGGGCAATGGATTTAAACTGAAAGAGGGGAGATTTAGGTTAGATATATGGAAGAAATTTTTCACTCTGAGGGTGGTGAGGCACTGGAACAGGTTGCCCAAAGAAGTTGTGGCTGCCCCATCCCTGGAAGTGTTTAAGGCCAGGTTGGATGGGGCTTTGGGCAACCTGGTGTAGTGGAGGGTGTCCCTGCCCATGGCAGGGGGGTTGGAACTGGATGGTCTTTGAGGTCCCTTCCAGCCCAAACCATTCCATGATTCTATATATGCATCACTGCTGGTTTTGTTTAGCCTCAGTGCACCTATTGGTCTCTAGAATTAATGCACTTAAGTATACTTGTGCACTTACATCGATTTTTATCTGTTCAGAATGTTTGGACCAGGAAGAGAATATAATTTCACCAGGCCAAATGAAAAGGGAGAATACGAAATCGCAGAAGGAATTAGCTCAGCTGTGTTCCGGACTGTGCTGGTAAGGAGATGTTTGCAGATTGGAAAAAAAAACCCAAACAATCTGTGTGTCACGTGCAAAACTGAGCTATCTCCCAGGCAGCCACACAGCCCCTGGGGAATATTCTTTTATTACTGTTTTGCATTGTGATGTTAAAAAATAGATATATAGTAGACTTTGCTATGAGTCGACGTTTCAGGTACGTGCTTATGTTGCCTTTTACCTTTCTTCTGTCACGTCATTGTAGTTCCTGAGCTTGTCATGTATAAATATATATTGCTTGTGTATATATATAAAAATACATATTGTTGTTTCATAACATTGATGTTATGAAACCCTATGCCATGGGAAAAGTTTTAACTGGAGCTCACAGTTTATCAGACCCGAGAGGATCTGCAAAGAGACGTAGATTCTCGGACAAGCAGGGCTATTTTTGCTGTTCACAGAGCTATATATAGCCTCTGTAATTCTCAAATGTTGGTTAACAAAACAAAGAAGTAATTAAAACTGATCAGAGTCTAAGCTATTTTAATTTTTCTCTCCAAAACTTGTCCTTTTGTTTGCAGGATTATTACAAAACCGGAATCATTAACTGCCCTGATGGGATTTCCATCCCAGACCTTCGAGACACATGTGATTACCTGTGCATAAACTTTGATTTCAACACAATCAAATGTCAAGATTTAAGTAAGTATGGAGAGAGATCAGGTTAGATCATCTGTGTGGTGTTAAACACTCTGATCCTGATTTCAGTGCATCGCTTAATCATGTGCTTTAGTTTAAGCATGAAGGTATAGACTCCACTAGGACTCATGTATGTGTTGCAGAACTTCCTTTTTTGCTGCATCAGTCCAAGGTGAAGTGATGGAATCCTGCAGGATGCAGACACCTTGCTCAAAAAGCAAACTGAAATTGTAAAAATTCTAGTCTCTGCTGACAGAGGCTAAGAAGATGAGCTTGCTGTTACAGCCAAACAAAACGAAGGCTAAAAGCAGGGTTATAACTCCTATCTAAAACATACCACAGAATCGTGAATAATTTAAGCAGCAGGATGATGGGCAGAGCAGGAATTGAAGACACTGAAGCTGGAAAGTAGTAGAGAGTTCCTAGTCATGAAGGGATCGGACTGGGAGCAGCTTTTTGGTGCATATGCTGCCAAAATGTACTTTTAACATAGGCAAGTCTGTGAAAGGCACTTATACCGAAATGAGGCGTGTGGTATCACAGCACAGGCCTCGGGTGGAATTTCCTACCCTGTCCTCTGATGAGCAATCACAGAGAAGGCAGAAAACGTGCTGTCAAGAACAGAGGTTGTTGCTGGAAATTCACGTTAACATATCATAATGTATTAATTTTTCAGTCCATTGCTGTTGCACTGTATTGATTGGACTTTGATGGAGTTTTTTTAATGGTTCTACAGTGTAATTTGCATCTCATTTGAAGTGCAGTCTCTCATGTCTGATTTTGCCAATTCTGGAACTGGAGGCCGTTGATGCATCGGAACATATGTTAAGGAGTTGGTCTAAAGAAGAACACGGGCTGTGGTCTTGGATGTATCTGGAAAGTGTAGAGCTGGGACGTGTTTTCATTCTGTGTGTAAAAGCTCATTGTATGATTTATATCTCATTAGGTGCTCTGCTACACGAGCTCTCCAATGATGGTGCTCACAAGCAGTTTGATAGCTACCTGGAGGAGCTAATTCTGCCTATAATGGTGGATAGCGCAAGGAAAGGGGAACGCGAATGCCATATTGTCGTGCTGACAGATGAAGACACCGTGGACTGGGATGAAGATCATCCACCTCCAATGGGAGAGGAGTACTCGCAAAGTAAGGGCTCTACACTGAGGCTCCTGGCTCTGTGTTCAGTGCACACGCAGATATCTGGCCACCCTAACAGCAGTCTTCCTCCAGGAAGAGATGCTGGCATGTGGAGTCCTGTTTTGTGCATTCCTTCTGAATTGGAGGCTGCCAGAGGCAGGATACCTGGCTAGTTAGAGCTTTGGTCTGACCACCTGCATTGGTAATGACAGCACTCACTGCATCTTTTCCTTTAGTTTGCCACCTTCCCCTTTTCCTGGCTCCCTAGTGACTGAATACTCTTTGCTTTACACACTCACCACCACCTGCTCTCTCCAGACTGCGTAACATCTAGCACTACCCTCCCACCAAGAAAATGGAGCTAATCCCAGTGAGGAGAACAGGCACCTGTAGTAGTTCTTGGAAACCAGACCTGGCTTTTGGCACCTCTACAGCTGAGCGTGTCAGAAATGGGGAGAAGGTCCCTCCTTGTAGATTCTGATCACCCTTTTTATTTCTCCAGTCCTTTACAGTTCCAAGCTGTACAGATTCTTCAAGTACATTGAGAACCGTGATGTTGCAAAAGCCGTGTTAAAGGAACGGGGCCTGAAGAACATTCGCATTGGCATTGAAGGTAAAGTGTTTCTTCAGCAAAGGGAACTCTCAAACAGGTGACATCATAGTCAGTAAAGCCTGGTTTCCTCTGGACTTCAGGCATTTCCTGACTTGCTCTGTGTTTTACTAGGCATTTCTTTTAATGAAACTACTAGAAGCTGAGCATCTTCCTTCGCCGCTGTCACGTTACACTGAAATTGGCCAGGAGGCTTAAAAGTTAAGGGAAAAATGAGATACACACACGTGTACCAGCAAGCCTTGTCTCTTCAGGACTAAGTAAACAGGAAACAGGAGTCAAACACTTCTGTCTGCTCATCCAAGCATTCCCTTAGGGAGCTGAGAGAACATTGTGCTCTGTCCTGGGAGACTCTTATTTTTATAGGCTATGTTTGTTCACCAAATGGCTAACGATGTGCAGCCCTTGCTCATATGACTACACACAACGCTGCACCATCTTTTTAGGGGAAAAGAAAGCAAGCCAATAATGTGGAATGTGAGCATTTGTCTACCAAGTCCCCCCTGTCCCCATAATCACTCCTGCCTGGCTGTTCTTCCGGGACCCTGTTGTCCCTTTGTGCAAGTCAGAGGTGTGTAGTGCAACTGACTGGCTGTCTGTGTTTTCAGGATATCCCACCTGTAAAGAGAAGGTGAAGAGGAGGCCTGGCGGCCGATCAGAAGTGATATACAACTATGTTCAACGGCCATTCATCCAGATGTCGTGGGAAAAGGAAGAAGGCAAAAGCCGTCACGTTGATTTCCAGTGTGTGCGGAGCAAGTCTCTAACAAACCTGGTCACTGTGGGTGATGACGTTTCGGAGGACCATGAGGTTATGATGCATCACCCCCCACAAGTAGATGAACTTGACAGGCTAAACGCACCATTCTCCCAAATGGCTGTTAACGATCTACCAGATTAGTTGTGGCTCAGGGTGGATAGTCCTGCTCGATGTGGGAACATCTCAGCATAGTTTCATCCCAGGTGATGGAACACAGACTCCTGCAAGGTGCTTTATCCTCGTTCATGCTCTTACTACGTTGTCATATTTCAAGCATGTTAATAAAGAGCCACACTCCATAGTCTTAATTGTGCAATCAAAAGCAACATCTCCTCAAACAAATAGAAATTATGCTGTTTGTTTCTACTACAAAGGCTTCAGATTGGTGGGTGCTGAATATTTTACGTAAACTTCTAAAAGAGGAGCAGAAGTATTTAGAAACGTCTTGTTTGACATGAGAGAGGAAGTTCTGGGTCTGTCAAGACAAAGCTTTCCTTTACCATTAGGCACTTAGCTTTGCTTTTGCGATAATCAGTTACAAAGGACTGAACATCAAAGGAAGACAGGTGATACTCTTTCATCAACCAGCAGAAATGTAGCACAGTTGTGACAGCAAAATCCTGAGTGTGGAGGAATCTGTTTACACTGCCACCTGGCTTTGCATCCCGCGTGTTGTCCTGCTGTTCTAGGGAAGGATGAAGCAGTTTAATAGGAAGCATATGCCTGTTCACAGGAATTTCCCATATATACTTCTCCATAAGATGGAGTCACTGTTTATAAGGATGTTGTCTGTTAAGTTCAGTAAAACAAATAGATAGTGCTGAAGGAAGCAAAAAGAAAAGACTGTAGTTGATATTTTACCAACAAAGTAAATCAGTTTAGTAGCCTAATAGATGTGAGAAGCTCTCTAGAGGTGACCGTGCATGTTAAGACTTTCAGTTGTCTCCTCCTTCCCCCTGCTAAGACAAAAAAAGCCAGTGGAGGAGCTCCCAGTACAGATGATTTACTACCTGAGTACAACCTTAGTCATAATTTCTGTAGACTCTCCAAGGAGTGCTCTGCTGTTGCAGCTTTAAAAGGCCAGCTACTTTCTTCTCAGTTTGGAACTCACTGGACCGTTTTGCTGTCAGGCAGGTAAGAAATACCAATAGTAAACCAGCCTTCGGTAGAGAAAAATACCCGTACCTGGGAACAACTCTCCTTTGCCTCTCTGAATATATTATCCTAGTCTGTGGTTAAGGCTCCCTTCGTTTTGGATTCAGGGCCAACAAAGCCGTGACTGTGAGTATAGCCACATATATTATCCTAGTCTGTGGTTAAGGCTCCCTTTGTTTTGGATTCAGGGCCAACAAAGCTGTGACTGTGAGTATAGCCACACTCCAGGCTGGTTTAGCTCAGTTAGTTGTAGTAGAGCCTAACTGGTCCTGTTCCTGCAGCACAGAGTTCCCTGTAGGTTTGCTTCACCCCCCGATTAGCACACAGTGAGGTCAGTACTGCCACAACCCAACTGCTACATCAGCCACAACGGGCCTCCCTTACAGAACCGTCCTTTCTGATGGCTGGGTAGAGGTTGTACTTACCCCTGGGTAGAGGTTGTACTTACCCCTGGGTAGAGGTTGTACTTACCCCTGGGTAGAGGTTGTACTTACTCCTGTGTAGAGGTTGTACTTACCCAAAGCAGAGCACTTAAACATGGTGCTGGTGCAAAGAAAAGCAAAAAGAGAGTGAGTTACCTGGTCGTACTGGGCAAAACAGAGGTAGGTGTCCGTCTGCCCCTGCGAGGTTTAATCCTCTGTTGTCGGGGTCGTCAAGCCATTTTTTGTTGTTTTCTGTCTGTCTGCAAAACGTATGGCAGACTTTGCACTGAAGATTGCTGTGACTGTTTGCTGCTAAGGATGTTTGGGTTTTGAGTGTAAGTGACATGAATACCAAGCACAAATTTTCCTGAAGATTTATGAGTGTCATTCTGGTTATGAGTAACAAGATCTCTGCCGAGGCATATACTTCTGATGTGTTTAGTTCCCATTTGCATGGATACAGGTCCCATTCTTTGCAGTGTTTCTGTTCTTAGCTTCTTTCCTAAGTGCAGCAAGTAGATTTCTTCTTTTTGTAAGTGCCTATGGGAAGATTTCCAGAAGTGCTTCAGGGCCTCCTGAGAGTCCTGGGGGTTCAGATGCCCAGGTCCACCTGACTGCTTTTGAAAAACCCTCCCATGTGTCATTGGGTCAGTATAGAGAAGTGTCCTTCAGTCTCTGCACAGAGGTGGTGTGCAATCACTTTCCATTATTGCTCTAGATGAATTTCTATTTTTGTAATAAAGGAAGACATATGGACCATTAACCTTCCAGCTAAGAGCCAGACCAAACCCATTACCTGCCTTGGTAACGAGCCATTCCCACAAGTCAAGCAAAGACTGTCTGCCCAGCAGTGATGGAGCTTGCCCCCAGGCCCTGTGATTATTTTTTTTTGGTGTGTATTTATTTTTACAGTAGTGTAAGTTTTGAGCAACTGTGTATTGGTATTGACCAGCTGACCTGGAACTGGAGTCTACACACATTCTGCTCTGAGGAGTTGAAGAGGTGTGTTCTTGAGCAGTACCCTCCAGGACTGCGTCAAGGTAGCGGATGCTGAGCATCCGACATCACCAGCACCTTGTGGGATCTGACAGCCAAGACACATCCCACCAGTGTGTGTCCCTGAGCCGAGTGTCAGCTAGGGATGCTTGAAGGATTTGGCCAGTTTATTAGAAGTAGTGGCCTCAGGCACTTGACTAACTGCAGCAGGCTCTTGCCTGAGCGTTAAAGGCTGTCAGTGCCTTGTAGGAATTTGTTGGTACTCTGCAATCAACTTGCACCTTCAGCACGGGATGGAGGTATCCAGCTTCCGTGGCTTCCATGCAGTTTTCATCACTCCAAAAAGCCACTGTACTTGACTGGCTTTCCCAAGTAATTAAAGATGAATTTTGGATTTTATTTTTTAGTAGAGTGAGTTCTGTTGGAACACTAAATCAAACTGAAAAAGTGTGTGCATTTGCTCTTCCTCCTCTCTTGGTCACCTGGTACAAGGTCAAGCTTTGTCTTATTCTCTGGCTATACCGAAGTGTTCCCTGTGGTGTGTGTGAACTACAGCTGTACAGTTTCTTTTCTGTATTAAAGTATAAATTATATGCAGCTTGCCTGGCTTTTTTAAAACCGGTCTTAAATGCGGAGTAGACGAGTGGGCAGGGGATAGATTGCTGGAAGGTTTTGTTTCCTTGCTTCATGGAGTAAGTGTGGCTTGTGCCTCCAAAGTTCTAGAAGTAGTTTTGCACCAGTCAGAGCCTGGTTGGCTTGGCAGGGACCTCGAGCAGCAGCTGCACAGAAGCGTTACTACCACTTGGGCTGAGAGGACCTCCAAGTTTACCAGCTCATTGCAGTGATGTTCTAAAATCAGCACGTAGCACAGGCAGGAGGTAACACTACTCAGCCCACAAATTATGCAGCATCTCTAACGGGCCCTAGAGCTGTTTTTGGTTAGCATGCTGTGGAAGATGCTCTCCACTTCGACCTACTTCTCTCTTTGGAAGAAAACAGCATTGGAGCAGGTCTGGCTTTTATTTCCATCTTCAGCATTGGATGTATTTCAAGAGTTTCCTTGACGAAGCTTAGAAAGGCAGTAAGAGTTTTAACAAGGTGGAATTTAGTGAAATTACTGAAGTGATAACAGGAACTTGTACTCACAAGTGGAGCTGTCACAAACGTGAAGCAGTGAAATTAGAACTGCAGGTTGGCTTTGGCATGTTACAAACAGGTAGGAAAAAATGAAGGGTCGTAGCTTTGCTTCCAGTGCCACTTGCTCACTGCTTATTATCCATTTTAAAATAGAAAAAAGATTAAAAACAACTTGCCCTGAAGTTGGTAAACTGAAGTGACATTCACACATGGGTACCTGGGCATGAATAAGGCTGGGGTCATCCACCTGTGCCAGGAGGCCAGGCACGTTCTGCCAGAAGGGTTCAATTCTTCCAGTACTTTCACCTGTAATTAATTAAATTAATTTCTTCATGCCTGCTGTACATCTTTTGGAAAAGCAGTCTTTAGCCCCTGAGTTACCATTGCATTCTCATACCCAAGCAGTGGGTTCTAAAATCAATTTCAAGTCTGGGAAAAAAAAACAACTTGAGAATTCTAGTTTGTAAAAGACCAAAACATGCTAGCAAAATTGTGTTTACTACGAGGATTTTATTTACACAACACAATGCAAAGGTAGTTCCATCAAAAGTTGGCTCCCCCAGCAACACACAATACACCTGCCAAATTTTACAGTGCAATTTAGTAACAGCTTTTAAATATTTACAGAACACTTTTTCAACTTACAGGTTAAGGCAGAGTCAGGGCACAGTGATAAGAAACAGTACAGTTTTGTGCTAGGCATGGTACAGAGAGGAACTGGCAGCATAACTCATGTTCAGATCCACTGGAAATTCAGATTGGAATTACTCCTACAAGTCCAGCAACTACTTGCAGCTTAAAAAAAAAGAGCTAAAAGATACACAACACACAAGCCAGCAGCTAAGAAAAATGTTTGGCTCACATGGGAGATGGAACAGATACACAAAACTCTGTTAGCAGTGGAGAATGGGTCCTGGAAAGAAGATGCTGTACTTTTTTTTTTTTTTTCCCCTAGTGTTGGTGAAGAGCTGTGACAGGAAGCAGATTTATGATGCAAGTGTGATCCAAAACCTACCGCTGGGAACGGGTGTCCAAGAGGACCAGATTCAAAGACATCCAGCTTCTGCTGAAAGGCAGCAGGAGTGAGGTACCCAGCTGCTCCTTGTGCCTTTGAAAAACTTCACCTCTCACTCAAAAAGTGAGTGATCTGAGGTTTCAGAAGACTTCAAACCACACGCACTAAAAATGCACAGTACATATTATTATACAGGGTTTTTTTTCACAGCACATTACCACAATTACAGGTGTATAGCTTCATCTTTGGTATTTATCAATAACAATGCCAGTCCCTTTTAGTAAAGGGCTAATAATGCAGCTACTCAAAAGGATTTTTTCCTAATCCACAGCAGCTTTAAAGAATTTTCATTTATTTCTTTTTTAAATTTTAAGGCAGTAACTAAGCTGTTAGGAATTTTTAAAAAATGTTTTGATATTAATACCTCTTAGTTTCCAATGGTTTAAGGCAACATTTTCAAATGGCTAGAAGCGACTGCAGGATAAAGTGATGGAGCAATTGAGAAGTTGGTATCAGTCCTTCGTAAAAAAAAAAATAATAATAAATAAATAAAAGGGGAGCAGAAGGTGATCAGTTGGTAAAAAGCCTGACCCTGTAAATCACTACTTCAGTT